TGCAGGCAGGCTCACCAATGCGTGCCGCTCGGCCTGGTTGCGCCAAGCTATGAACAAGCTCTGCAGACTACACTGGTTGCCAGGGCCAAGGCGTGGTGCAACCATTGCTAGGAGAGGCCACATTTCTCCATGATCGGCAACCTCAGTTTGGCCAGGTGCTTGGGATCTAGCCTGCCAGAAGTCCGGAGCTTCTGGGCAGCACACTCCGGCAAGGTAATGCAAAAACTCTGCGGCGTCATGCTGAATGTCAGGGCGTTGCCATGACCTCGTCATGTTTTGCCATACCCTAAGGTCCCAAAGCTGAACTGTTTGAGGCCTCCGCGTGAGCCAACGGAGGAGCCGGCTCAAAGAAAGGCTGTGCACTGCTAGGCCCTGCACGCTGCTGCATGCGACCCAAAGCAGAGAACTAACAGTTGCATTAGCATAACAGTGGTTGCTGCGATTAATGAAACATAAACTGCGAACCGAGGCCTCGGTGACATTCACATAGATTGCAGTGTCTTGTCGATCTGGACCGCCAATGGGCTGCGACCCATCCGGGTGGGGCGCAGCGTAGTGTTGCATAGCTGCATCACCCCGTTGCGGCTCAGCCTCAAAAACCCCAAATACATCTGCTGGGACTCGGCGTTCCTGTTCTGGATCTGAAGGCTGAAAGGAATCACCTCCGAGGCATACTGTGGGGCCAATTTGTGGAGGGCGTGAAAACGCCCTATGACATTGGGGCACGCCGTCAGGTTCTGGAGCATCTTGACCGTGACCTTGGCGTCCTCGTGGCTCAGGGGCATCATCTCCTCCGCAACGTGTTTCTTCTGCTGGCTGTCCCAGCGAAGATAGGGATACGCCGGGGCCGTTTCCAGATCCACCACCAGCCCGAGCTCCCTGGCTCTCTCGCGGAGGTCCTGATTGGTCTCCATGTCCACAATCTTGGTGTAGAGGACTTCCAGGAAGGCATGAAGGAGCACTACTCGAAGAGGCTGCTTGAGAGAGCCCGGGTCGCTCTCCTTGCGCCGGTTCCAATCTAGCGCTATCTGATACATGCTGCTCGGCAGAGACCATCCCGTTGGGTCCGGCGTGGTGCCAACGAACATGATGAAAGATGTATCCAAGTT